TGAGGGACCCATCCAGCACATGTGGGTGTTCCTGACAGTGGTGTTTGGAGTGGATTTCTGAAGGGAACTATAGTGTTTCCACGTACTTTAGGCTTCCAGTAATACCCTCAGCTAGAGATTAAGTCCTCAGGCTCCCCTCTGCCTATGACTGTTGGACAAACCCGTTCTGTTGTGGCAAACCAGATTTCCAGCTGGCAAAATAGAGGTGGTTTGCTGGCTGGGATAGCTGCTACAGGAACAGACCTTGTAGCTGGCTCCTCATACAGATTTATTTACTAGTCCCTCCCAACATGACAATTGCAGAATCTGGGCCTAAATGCCAAATTGGATGAATACTTGATATTAGTCACAAATACTGCGACATGTAGACCCAGCAAGATTACTTAAGGACACAGCTGCCATCATTTAAGCTGCACCAGTGTATTTCCTGGCTTTGCAGGTTTATGCAACAACTTACTCAAACCTAAGGTAGACTTTCTGTGTGTGTGTGTGTGTGTGTGTTGCTCATTTAACGTATGGTTCATGCTGTAATGTCTGCTAAGTAATCCAGACCCTGGAACAGCTTGACTTAATTGCATTGATGTTTAAATCCTATTTTTGATAAAGCAGAATCTCTTTTTGTTCTTTTTTCCTGTGGGATGTACATATTTCAAAAAGAGAAGTAATCCTGCTGTTTACTAACAAATTGGCAGCTGATTATAGGATTTTTTGGCTTGCTGACACAGTGCAAATACTTTCTGAGTTCCTCCACTACCTAGATTTTCCTACTGTAATTTATGTACTGGAATTGGTTACCAAGGCAACACTATTCACTGACCTATGGTACTCCTTTGGAAACATTTTTTTTAAATTAATTTTTACTGACACTGGAACACAGTTAAGCTTTTAGTCTGTAAAGGTTAAAGCACATGTCTAATATTAACCGAAAAGATGTGATTTATGCCAGCAGAAACAGAGTGAATTGCACTGACGAGGTTTCTTTTTTTTTTTTTTAATGATTGAAATTCTTGCTTTTTTCATATGCTTCCTCTCCCTTCTCCTCCACCCTCAAAGCATAGATATAAAATGCTGGCTCTTGCTTCTTAACACATGGAAGGCATCTCCATTTGTCTGGAAAACTGGATTTCTATGCATTTGTGCTGTCTTTAGCACCTTAAAGGACAGACCTTTACAAATTATAAAACAAAAATCATTTGAAATTGTACAGAAGACCTCACTGGGAAAATAGTCTGAGACCTACTACACATAAACTATATACATATATATACACTGTGGTCTATGCCTTGTACTATGAAATATATCTAAAATAATACTTTAGGTGTAAACTGCTATGTAAGTGTAGAGAAATGCAGAATTTTTGCAGAAGTGGGTGTTAATTAACCCATTTTACAGATGTTGACTTGATAAAGTGTGCAGATGACCCAAAAATTGGGGGCGTGGTATATAATGAAGAGGACGGGTCACTGATTCAGAGCAAATTAGATTGCTTGCTAAACTGGGCATAAGCAACCAATATGTGTTTATGACTAAATTTAAATGCATACATTTGGGAACAAAGAATGTAGGCCATACTTAGGGATGGACATCTCTATCCTGGGAAGATCTGGGGTCGTGGTGGATAATCTAGCTGAACATGAGCTCCTAGTGCAGTGGTTCTCAACCTATTTATCATTGTGGGCCACATATGCAGCCCACAAAGTGTTACCTGGGCCACAGGTTGAGAACCACAGTGCCCCCCCCCCCAAACCCCTGTACCCAGCGCCCTCCACCCAGAGTCCCCTCCACAGAGTGAGGCCAGAAGCAGAGAGCTGGGCAGGGGGCAGGGACCCAGACCCTCCCATGTGGGGTCGGGCAGTGGCCTGGACCCTGGTGGCAGCCTGCAGCCCGCCGGGCGGGGCCGGGCAGCCACCGGCAGCCCAGAGCCCACCACGCGGCAGGGCAACTTGGAGCCCCGGAGCCCGCGGCCTTTAGCACACAGCTGAGCTGGGCTGCAACTGTGTGCTAATTGGGCTGCATGCGGGCTGTTGCTTGAGAACCGCTGTCCTAGTGTAATCTTGATTAGTAGAGTGGTTATTTTATCCTGTATTTGGCACTGGTGCGACTATTGCTGGAATAGTGTGTCCAGTTCTGTTGCTCACAGTTCAAGAACAATGTTGATAAATTGGAGAGGGTTCAAAGAAGAGCCATAAGAGGATGAGCATGTTCTGGGTTGCAGCACGCCCTGGGCTGCCTGCAGCAGACAGCGCCTGCCTGCCCATCCCGTGCTGACCGTGTCCGGACCTGTAGCTCACAGCCAGAGTAGCAGGCTGCCTTGTAAATCATTATATTAAAATTTGTACCATTATTTGCAAGCAACAGCTGGTGCGGGGTGGAAATTTGTCCTGTGGGTGACTTCCCAGCTAAGGTGCCCCATGGCTCGGTGGGTGGGATCACCCCTGCCGCTGACTGTCTGGGAGCAGACATGGAGAGACATGTTCCCGATTGGGCAGCCACAGCAGGCCAGGTGGGGAGGGCCCTCTCCTCCTCCTGTGCAATCTCTGCTACAGGGCTCTAGTGCCCTCCGCAGCAGTGACCCTCTCTGGCCTGGACAGCATCCCAGTGTTGAGCCCCACATGGGGCTCCTGCTGCCTACTGCACTGAGCTGGACTTGGAGCAACCCCCTCTGTCCCAGCTGCACCCCCTTCAGAGTCACTGCAGCGCAGCGACCCGGAGGAGGATATAATGCTGACCCTGCAGCTGTTTCGTGGGCCCAGCTCAGGCAAGGCTTAAAGTAGGCAGAGTCGCGAGCGGTCACAGTCCTGGCAAAAAAGAATTAAAAGTAGAGTTGGATCACAAAGGGGTGCACTTGAAGCGCTTCCCTACCAAGTGCTTGAACGTTTATTTCAGCTGGAATTATCGAAGAGCCCCCTCCCCTCATACATGCTTTTTCCAGGTTAATCCCCCCCCCCAAGTATTATATATCATGGGCAATGGTATTGTATATTGTGTGGATGCGGCCCACATAACACATAGAGAACTGCATATGCGGCCCACAATGGTAAATAGGTTGAGAACCACTGAATTATAGACTGCTCCTCAGCTGGCAGAAGGGTTGAGGGACAATGGGAGGGGTATACTTTTTATGGGTTTCTTTTTTCAATCTTTTTACTGAAAAGAAATCTGTCTCGTTTGTGTGTTAGAGCGTGAAATCTAAAGCGTATATTCATGATATAATTGCATCAGAGCCCAGTAACACTGTTACGATAAAGGATCTGTCAATGATTTCATCATAAACTTGATGTTCTGAGATGGAATGTTACAGCTGATACAACTGGTGTGAACTGGAATATTGCCCTGCATTCCTTAATAACAATTTGACTGTTGGAAACTGGGGAGAGGAGAGTAGTTGGCTTTGCTTTCATAAGCCCTGATCCTGCAAACATTGATGCATGTGTTTAACTGTAAACATGTGCAGAAATGGTTAAAAGAGAATTCTGTGAGAGATCAATACTATTACCCTACTGTTATGATTCTTTCCATATCACATAACTTTAGTTCAGTCTTCCATAGAATCATTCCCAGCATTTAGTTCACCTACTTTTAAACTGAATGCACCATATAAATGGTTAATCTAAAGGTGGTTAAAATTTATTAGATTTAATTTTACAAGAACAGAGTATTGAAGTTCTCATCTACAATTTAAATGTTCATTGATTAGAAGGTATCTATAGGGCTGCCTCAGAGAACACATATTTTTGATTAATTGCATTAAAGCTGTACTGAAGGAATGGCTTCTTAATGTGTTGTGTAAATTCTTGGCTTCCTGTAGGAAGGTTCGGTGCTGTAGATGTGGACAAGCAAAATGATTCATTTGAAGCAAATAGAAAGCCTGCCTATGCATATGGGTAACATCCACACAATTGGGTCTAAATCAGGTAAATGAAGTCAAAAACAATAAAGTGTAGCCAAAATAGGTGCTTTGGGAAGGGCAAGTGAAATCAAACCATAAGTGAAATCTAACCCACGGACCCTTAGAGTATTACAAATTCCTGACATCACACTCCAACTGCATTGTAAAATTTAGCTGGGAATTAACTTTTTTTATTTGGCACAAATCTGAATCACTAGAAGTCACTCCTACTCCCATTCCCACACCCAGAAATCTGTGTTATAGCGATACTAAAGTTGTTCAAGCCAAGAGCTTCAGATTTGTGCTTGAACTGTTGTGTTGTGCAAAGGATTAGTTCTTGTAAATTAATTGCCTCCTCAGTCACCAGGCAGTCATTTTTGTAGATTTCTCCCTTTCCTGCAGCACTTGAATGTTGGCTTGTGTAATTAGGGCACTGATTTAACATTGCATTGATGTAATCATCCACTGGAATAGATGGAGTTTTCTCTTAATAATTAATTCTGATTATTAGTCCATTATTATTACTTACGAGGTGATGTCTTGAGTTTTACTTTGGGAGCAAATTATTATGGATTAATGATAAACACCTAACAATCGGTTTATGATGTCCATGCTTGCTCAGTATTAACTAGAGTGCTGCTAAAATCAGGGATATTTGCATGCTTAGAAATAGTGTAGAATTAGGTCTTATATTGTCTCTTTAGTACTCTCACAATCTTGGAGTTGTTTATACAACACATGTCTTTCTTCTGGGTGTCTCTGGCTACTGTCAATTTCCAGGTTTCGCAGTGAGCATTTAGTGGGGTACCATGTGTTCTGGTGTGCCTGGTCTGATGGATATTAAGATTTCACCTTAGTGGCAACATGTTTTCTCACAGTGATCTAATTTGGGGCTTTTTGCTCTTGCGTCATCAGGGGTTAAGTGACAGTGGCAATTCAAAGAGAAGCACTGATTCTCTCTAGGTAAAGCTGTTCTCATTGCCTTTCTTTTCGAGCGCAAACCCTTAAGCATAGTATTGTGCGAGGAAAGGGTTAAAAGATGAAATATGAGAGGACCTTGGAGGAAAAAATATTTTTATTTGAAGTTTAAAACATTCCTGTATCTCTTCAGATTGTCAACATGTCACGGCTAGTGGGTGCTGATAACGCTGTAGAACTGATCTATTTTGTGGAGGATCAAACTGGAGAGAGGCTCAGCGCTGTAAAGTCTTCAGATCTGATTAACAGAGTTGACATCCAGAGAGCCGCCATCATTCTTGGATACCGCATTCAAGGCGCAGTTGCACAACGTAAGTCCCACCAACTCTGCATCACTGTACCCCTGAAGAGAAAGGGGAAACATGACCGTAGTTATGGAAATCTGGGGACTTCTCCAAGCAAACTGTAATATGTATTATATCATCTCTGTAATGCATTAGAACTGTCTGTGCGGTGCCTGCTCTGAAAGAATCGTCCACCAGCCAGAAATGGGACTTTAGAGGCCCTTTGTGCTGCTCCAGCCCCTTTAAGCACCATGAAGGAGCTGGAGCAGGGGTGAGGATCTCACCCGTCAATTTGCAAAAAAGTATACTTGTGGGATGGAATATTCCATCTATGTGAAATATGCAATTTACACATTACTCTTTTTACAACCCCCGGCCCCCCAAAAAAGCAAAAAAAAAAAAAAAAAAAGCCACTTCTTGTTTGTGAGTGAAAGATGCAGTTACTGTGGGAAGGGGTTGTTTGGATCATATCAGCTGGGAGGCATAACTTGTGGCTTCTTTTCCTTGATTGAATGTCATAGATCTCATTTTTATTTACTGATCTACTAGTGATATGTCTGTAGTTTGACCTTGTCATCACCCGTTAATAAGGTTTCATTAACTAGATGTGCATGAGCATTAGTATAGGAGATCCCTAGCACAACAACTCAATGAGAGTTGTGAGATGGGGAAATGAAATGGAAAATATTTACAGCTAAATGAAGCTAAGGTGCCATACATAAGAATTACTCTAAACTGTACACCCTGGTATGGGGGAAAGGCTTAAAATCTATAACATTTGTAATATAAACAATATAATATCTTTGACTAGATTTAAATCCATACTTTATTTTTTTTTCAGTGTAGACAACACATAGAAACATAGGACACAGGACTGGAAGGGGTCTCCTGGATCATTCAGTCCAGTCACCTCCTATCTCAGGCAATCACGTCTCATAATCCAGTTAATAAATTTACCAAACTCCATTTAAAACTAGTTAGATTGTTTGCCCTCAGTACTCCTATTGGAACACAAGACTTTGCTGTATATAGATGAGAAGTGAGTGACATGATAGCACGAAGTCTTTTTGCTTTGGTAGCAATAGCTAGATAGCCAGATATAATACAGCATGTGTCTGATCTACAAAGTCACTTGCAGAAAGATTTTTATGGAAAAAAATTGTTTGCCCAGTGAGGTAGTCATTATGAAAATATTAATGATTGGGTCATGTATGATTTTAAAATATTATTTCTCCTCTAGTTTAGTAGTTTACGGTAACTCAGTTACCTTTTAAGCTTATTATGTTCTAGATTTATTAATATAGTGTAATATTTGTTTGGGAAATATTCACAAAGTTGTAAGGATAAACCGGTATTAGGATGTTATTTAAGAACATAAGAACGGCCGTATAGGGTCAAACCAAAGTTCCATCTAGCCCCATATCCTGTCTTCTGAAAGTGGCCAATGCCAGGTTCCCCAGAGGGAATGAACAGAACAGGTAATCATCAAGTGATCCATCCCCTCTCCCCCATTCCCAGTTTCTGGTAAACCTAGAAGCTAGAGATACCATCCCTGCCCATCCTGGCTAATAGCCATTGATGGACCTATCCTCCATGAATTTATCTAATTCTTTTTTGAATCCTGTTATAGTCTTGGCCTTCACAACATCCTCTGGCAAAGAATTCTACAGATTGACTGTGCGTTGTGTGAAAAAATACTTCCTTTTGTTTCTTTTCAACCTGCTGCCTTTTCATTTCATTTGGTGACCTGTAGTTCTTGTGTTATGAGGAGTAAATGTCACTTCCTTATTTACTTTCTCCACATCAATCATGATTTTATAGACCTCTATCATATCCTCGCCTTAGTCATCTCTTTTACAAGCTGAAAAATCTCTCCTCCTATGGAAGCCGTTCCATACCCCTAATCTTTTTTGTTGCCCTTTTCTGAACATTTTCCAATTCCAATGTATCTTTTTTGAGATGGGGCAACCACATCTGCGCGCAGTATTCAAGATGTGGGTGTACCATGGATTTATATAGAGGCAATATGATATTTTCTCTCATATTGTCTACCCCTTTCTTAATTATTCCCAAGATTCTGTTTGTTTTTTTGACTCCCACTGTACATTGAGTGGATGTTTTAAAAAAACTATCCACAATGACTCCAAGATCTCTTTCTTGAGTGGTAAAAGCTAATTTAGACACCATGATTTTATAGGTATAGTTGGGATTATGTTTTCCAATGTGCATTACTTTGCATTTCTCAACATTGTATTTCATCTGCCATTTTCTTGCCCAGTCAGCCTGTTTTCTGAGATCCTTTTGTAGCTCTTCGCAGTCTGCTTGGGATTTAACTATCTTGAGTAGTTTTGTATCATCTGCAGATTTTGCCACCTCACTGTTCAGATCATTTATCAATATGCTGAATAGGACTGGGCCCAGTACTGACCACTGAGGGACACCACTATTTACTCCTCTCCATTCTGAAAACTGACCATTTATTCCTACCCTTTGTTTCCTATCTTTTAATCAGTTACCAATCCATGAGAAGATCTTTCCTCTTATCTCATGACAGCTTACTTTCCTTAAGAGCCTTTGGTGAGGGACCTTGTCAAAGGCTTTCTGAAAATCTAAGTACACTATATCCACTGGATCCCCCTTGTCCACGTGCTTGTTGACCCCCTCGAAGAATTCTAGTAGATTGGCAAGCCATGATTTCCCTTTACAAAAAACATGTTGACTCTTCCCCAACAAATTTGTTCTTTACTGTAGTTTCAACCAGTTTGTCCTGTACTGAAGTCAGGTTTACTGGCCTGTAATTGCCGGGATCACTTCTGGAGCCCTTTTTAAAAATTGGCGTCACATTAGCTATCGTCCAGTCATTTGGTACAGAAGCTGATTTAAATGATAGGTTACAAACTACAGTTAGTAGTTCTGCAATTTCACATTTGAGTTCCTTCAGAACTCTTGGGTGAATACCATCTGGTCCTGGTGACTTATTACTTTTTAGTTTATCAGTTTGTTCCAAAACTTCCTCTAATGACACCTCAATCTGGGACAGTTCCTCAGATTTGTCACCTAAAAAGAATGGCTCAGGTTTGGGAATCTACCTCACATCCTCAGCCTTGAAGACCGATGCAAAGAATTAATTTAGCTTCTCCGCAATGGCCTTATCATCCTTGAGTGCTCCTTTAGCATCTCAGACAACCACTGGTCCCACTGGTTGTTTAGCAGGCTTCCTGCTTCTGATGTACTTAAAAACAAATTTGCTATTACTTTTTGAATCTTTGGCTAGCTGTTCTTCAAATTCTTTTTTGGCCTTTTATGCTCCTTTCTATTTTCCTCACTAGCATTTAAGTTTCACTTTTTAAAGGATGCCTTTTTGTCTCACTCCTTCTTTTACTTTGTTTTTTAGCCATGGGGGCATTTTTTTGATTCTCTTACTATGTTTTTTAATTTGGCGTATACATTTAAATTGAGCCTCTATTATGGTGTCTTTAAAAAGTTTCTATGCAGCTTGCAGGGATTTCACTTTTGACACTGTACCTTTTAATTTCTGTTTCACTAACTTCCTCATTTTTGTGTAGTCCCCCTTCCTGAAGTTAAATGTGATGGTATTGGGCTGCTGTGGTGTTTTCCCGCCACAGGGAAAATGCTAATGGGTGTACAAGCTCAACTGTGTTTTTAAGTTTGTTCTCGTTTATTTTATCGTTTAAATTAAATTTCAGTTCCAAAGAATTAATTAAAAACAGTTTGAAGATCAAAAATCACAAATAAAAAGCATATATTTTATTTTTATGTGTTTGTCTCTCCTGTTGCTGTCAAAAGCCCACAGAAACCAAAGGAAAACTTAATATATTGATAGAAATAGTGAAACTGACTATACTCCAAGTGGTATCAAATGTGCAAAGTAAACAAAAGGGGAAAATTGTGATAATTATTTTCCTCTAATCTCTTGCAGTTGTACCAACTGGAGTTGTTACTTGTAAGAATAATACACAAAAATAAATTCACACAGAAATATTACTTTTAGTTTGAAGGGTCCCTTTAAAAATTACAATTCTGACTGAAAATGTTTTACCTGCTATTGTTTCAAGTAGCATCTACAATTACTGTAAATGAAATTGACTAGAATTATTTTTCTCTATTTCCAGTTTGTTTACTTTGTGTATAGTCAGTTTCCTTGTGTCCCCTTGTATAATTAGTTTCCTCTTTTGTTAGTACGGACTTGCACATAATAACGGGAAAGAAAAACATTTTGTAAATAAATTGGGAAAATGTGATTGCAGAACTCAGGGGTAGGTGTAATACTGCAAGTGAAAATACTGTTTAGCCTGGTTTTTGTAGGTGATTGGATTTCAAATTGACTGTGTCCCTTTTACAAAGTCAGGGTACAGGCAAACCCATTTTCACTTGCAACTTAAGCACAGGTCTCCAGAATTGAAAGTGGGCTTTAAGACAATTGATCATTTGCTCCACGCTCGTGTTTCCTGGCCAAGATGTACATTAAGTAATACATTTATCACCTTGCCTATACTGCACAGTCAGTTTCCTATAAATGTAGTTCTTTACTAACAATTATGAGAGGGTAGAAATGAATATCCCCTGAAGTGTCAACAGATAAAAAAAATATATAACTATATAAAATTCTTGTCTCCTCCTTACCCCCTTCTAACTCTGCAGCTGTGGATAAAGTGAAAGAGTCATCGTCCGAGTCTCAGAATAACAATCTGTGGATTATTGTTGGTGTGGCAGTCCCAGTGGCTGTGGTGCTGCTTATCATTATTATTTTATACTGGAAGCTCTGCCGAACAGACAAGTTGGAGTTTCAGCCAGACACCATGAGCAATATTCAGCAGCGACAGAAGGTAAAAGGGGATGGGAAGATGTGTTGGGAATAGTTAAGGTAACCTGAGCACTTGTGAATGCAACAGTCTAGGAAATATATGGTGTCGTTAGATGGGAAGGTGAGACGTACCAGGGCCGAGGCTTCCTGCAATCTGGAAAAAAAGGTGGAATTGCTATGAATCACACAATAATATAAATCCAAAAAACTCAGTGGTTCCCATTGCTTTTCCTTTGCCTGTTGTATCATCTAATGCTGTGTCACACTCCTAGGGGAAACCTTTGGGGAAACCTAGGTGACAAGGTTGAAAGAAACTTGCTTGCATCGTTTAATCCATCTTCTTATCTCTGTTCCGTGTGAGAAAGATGCTGTATTATTCCTTCTAGATGCAAGAAATTCTCTAACTTTGTCTGGACCATCTCTGTGTCTTATGAATGCCTCATAAGCCAAACTGTTCCATTGCCCAATTGTCCCATTAATTCCTGGAAGTCCAGACTTATCTTAAGGCTCCTTCGACATAGGCTAGTACAAATTTATTAACTGTTTTGCAAGTATATTGCAAAAAGCAAGTATTTTATCCTCTTAACTTCCTAACTTTACAAGTGATTTACCTTCCCGAAATGGCAGCTAAAACCTCTTATTCCTCCCACTAATCATGTACAATTTGTCTTATCACAAATAACATAGTATATGCATATAATGAAATCTTATAACCTGGGCTGTGTAAAGTGTCTGTTTTTGTTGCTGTGCAGTTCTGTATGGCTTTGTGTGTGTATGTATACAGAGATATATGTGTGTGCCCTACTGAGTGGAATATATCAGACTTTGGTCATATCAGTTCTCTTTGCCGGCAGAGCTGTTGCTTTAACTTCCTAGATAGAGAATCTTTGTTTTTTGGAGCTGATATACTGAGCTCACTCAATATTGATGCAAGTATGCAGTTGGTTAACAACTTAAAGCTCTGTCTACATTGCAACCGGGGGTTTAATGTGTAGCTTTTGTAGATGTACCTGTACTATCTTTAATCTAGCTAGTTAACTAAAAATAACAGTGATGCCCTCGTGGCACAAGCTTTAGTGCAGGTTGTATAATCCCACCTGGTCCCCCTGGTAGATACATGCATTGGTAGGCATGATGAAGCCTGGGCAGCAGTGTTCTCATTGCTATTTTTAGTGAACTACCTAGATTAAAGATAGCATGGGTGTGTCTACATGTGCTGAAGATTACACCCCTACTTGCAGTGTAGACATAGCCTGAGTATTCAGCCATAAATTTTTATGTGGTATGTGCAATGTTTCCCTCCACAAATTTATGTGGGGCAAGGCATTGTCTGGCCTTGCTGTGTTTCCCAGAAGTGGGGGAAGGTTTGGAAATGTAAAAAAACAAACAAACAAAAAAACCCACCCAAAACAACCACTCTGCTTTGACTCAGTACTGATTCACAGGGAAGCGTGCTGCCTGGTGAATCACAAACCTCGCTTTTTCCAGAAGCCCAAAGTGGTTTTTGGAGTTCTTTCACCCAAGCATTAAGCAAAGCAAACCATACGTCTACCCCAGTCCTGCACTGGGATCTGCAAGAGCAAACTCTTGCTTCTGTGTGCTGCCCCCTGCAAGCAGGTCTCAACATGGGCTCTGGGGTCCCTGCTTAGTAGATCCTGATGCAGGCCTGGGGCTTTAGCTTGTGAGATTGAACAAGATCAGAGCTTCGGGTATTATAGCTAAAGTCATGGAGGGGCAGGCTATGGATGGTGAGGAATTTGATAGTGTATTTTTATGCTAAACTGCCTAAAGCTGTATTTTCATAAAAGACGCATTAGTACAATGACAAAACTAGTATGGCATCCTCTTTTTTCTTTGTACTTACTGAACAAAACTGAGACGGACAGGGCAGTGTGTCTGAAATACTTTTAGTGACTAAACGCTTGCTTTCTCTTGCCATGGACATTAGTACAGTGTTACTACAGTTATGTTCGGCGTACTGTCACCTCATGGTCAGTCAAACAGTTTCCTCTGTAAAAGTCTTCTCTGAACACAGTTAATTAAAGAAGGGAAAAGTGAAAGTAGAAAGTGGCTGCACTTCTAAAGCAACAAGAACAAATCAATAGCAGCTCCCACTTATCTTGCCATTGTAGATTTAGTTGCAGAATGAAGGTCAACAACAAGTGAAACCTTATGTGAACTTTCATTTTACCCTGGCTGTGGTAATATTTAATTCAGAGTTTGATTGGAATAATACTTTATCCTGAATAGGAGCTGAAAATTAATTTGGGATTTGGCATGTAGTGAAGGATAATTAATACTTTTGATAGGGTTTTGTTTTGTTTTGTTTTGTTTGGAGGAAGTGTTTAAAAATAAACTTAACAGTAATAAATGGTATTTGTTAAGCACTGGTAACGTGCAAAGGTCTGTGCTATATAATAAACAAAGGAAGACACAGTTCCTTCCTCAGGAGGATTAAAATTGAAGTAGGTAGGCAATGATCAGCTATGAAGGCAGTTGAGAGACTTAAAGGATGGTTGCTAATTTAGGGTTAAATTAACCCCAATTTTGATGTCTTTGTGCAAGTCATCTCTGCAGTGAGGTGACTTTCACCACTAGCATATATGAAAAGTGCTTAACAGCTCATAATTTTTCCCAGTAATTTCAGAGCGAGATGGTGGCTGATTACATGAAATCTTGCAATACAACATATTACAATAGCTTCAACATTTGTTATTAATTTTTTATTAATTTGTAACGAAATGCAAACATTCATTTCCGTTTTATCAAAGTGTCTAATAAATCTGTGTCCCAACAGAGGAATCTGTAACCTCAGTGTACTCTTGTATCCTCCAAATCCTCAATTTTCTGTTGTCTCAAGCAGAGATAACAGAAGCAGTCTCTTTGACCCACAGACCAGAAACAGCTTAAGTAGTATCTACTTTGTTTTGGAAATGTCTGGACTCTATACTCAGTTTGTCCTTTCCTTTGCTGTTTCCATTGTACTTTCCATTTTAATCACTAGAGAGTCAAAAATGTTGATTTTTTTTGTTCAAATCTTGCTTCAGTTGTCTAGAGAGCCTGCAACATTATTTTTTTAGGGAAGTATCTGTAAGCACAACAGTATCATACAAACTGAAAAGGACCTGTAAGGTCATCTAGTCCAACCCTCAGGTGCCAGTGGAAGATTATCCCTATAATACATTTTCTAATGCTTTGCTGAGCCTATATTAAATGTTGCAAGTGACCGGTCTTTAACTACTTACAGAATGCATTCCCAGAAGAGCTTCCCAGTAGCATTTTGCTCCCTTTCCCCCAGTGCTGAGCCATGGACAAAGGAAATGATCCTACCCCTTTGCTGATAGTGAATCTTCTTTGGGTTTTTCTTGGTATCGTGTCACAAGATAGTTGTAGCAAGTTTGTGTAGGAAATTCCCCAGTCTGTTGTTCAGCAAAAACACAGTGTTTATGACCACAAAATTGTGGAAAGTTTACTGAGCACTAAAGGGCGCTGAACAGCCAAATCAGCGCTCAAACAATGACACCACTTTGCTCGGGCCCTGCTCTTTAAATTTTATATATGTTTACAGTCAGTTTTATTGCATTAAATAAAAAGAAGAAATACAAATGGAGTGAAATAATGTAACAAAGGGCTTGGGTCTGAAAATCATCCAAACTTCATATAAAAGTGTATTTTTTTCTCCTTCCTTTTCAGTGAGATTAAGACACTAGTACCAATGGAAAATGAGGTCCTCCATTTTATCTGTAAACTGAAAGGTATAAGTAGTGGTGGCCTGTTTTGTGAGACATGAAATGTGTCTATACAGAGTATTTCGTATCTGCAGGGAGCAAGATCCTTATCAAACTCTCATAGACCTAGTCTACACTTGAAAGTTGTATCTGTATAACTGTTTCAGTTAGAGGTGTGATTTTTTTGTTGTTGATTAAAGCTGTGGTGTGGATGCACTTATAGTAGTGTAAAGGTGACTTATACTAGTATATGAGACAGACAAGATAGGTAAGGTAATATCTTTTATTGAACCAACTTCTGTTGGTGGAAGGGACAAGCTTTTGATCTTCAGGGGAAGGTAACCAGAGCATCTGAGTTAAATACAAGTTGGGAGAGATTGTTAGGTGTAAAGGAGTCACACAAGCTGTAGACGACCATTTAAGATTAAGTGGGCAATGTAGAGTTAGATCAGGTGTCTCAAACTCAAATGACCACGAGGGCCACATGAGGACTAGTGCATTGAACTGAGGACCGCATCACTGACACCCCCCCTCGCTGCCTCTGGTCCCGCCCCCACTCCACCCCTTCCATTAGGCCCCGCCCCTGCCCCACCTCTTCCCACGCCTTCCCTGCCCCATTCCAACCCCTTCCCTGAAGTCCCCACCCCAACACTGCCCCCAGGGGGTGCAGAAAGGGTGCAGGGTGCGGTGGGGGCTCAGGGCAGGGAGTTGAGGTGCAGGAGGGGTGCGGGATGTGGCAGGGGGCTCAGGGCAGACAGTGCAGGAGGGGTGTGGGATGTGGCAGGGGGCTCAGGGCAGGGAGTTGGGGTGTGGGATGTGGCAGGGGGCTCAGGGCAGGGGGTTGGGGTACAGAAGGGGTGTGGGATGTGGCAGGGGGCTCAGGGCAGGGAGTTGGGAGGCGGGGTGCAGGAGGGGTGCAGGGTGCGAGCTCCAGCCCGGCACCGCTTACCTAGAGCGGCTCCGGGGTGGCAGCGGCGCGCACTGGGGCCAGGGCAGGCTCCCTGCCTGCCTGCCCCGGCCCCACGCTGCTTCGTTCCAGGAAGCAGCTGGAACCGTGTCCCTGCAGCCCCTGGGGGAGGCGGGGTGGGCTCAGGGTTCCATGCGTGTGCTGCTCTTGCTGCTCCTCTAGGTACCTCCCACAAAGCTCCCATTGGCCGCGGTTCCCTGTTCCCGGCCAATTGGAGCTGCGGGGGACGGTGCCTGGAAGGAGGCAATGCAGGAGCCCTCTGCCTCCTTCCCCCCCCGCCCCCCGGCCCGAAGGGGCATGCTGCCAGCTGCGCGGGGCTCGCAATGC